GGGAGGCAGAGTTTGCAGTGTGCTGAGATCATGCCACTGCACTCCAGTCTGGGCAACAGAGCAAGACTCTGTCTCAAAAAAAAGAAAAAAACTAACAAATCTTTAGCAACGTTACCCGAGAGAAGACAACTAAAATTCAAAATGAAAGAGGGGATACTGCTGATTTCACATAAATAAAAAAGATTACAAGAGAGAACTATGAATGATTGTATGTCAACAAATGGATATCTACATGAAATAGACAAATACTACAAAAACACAATCTACCAATGTGGAATCATGAAGAAATGGAAACTCTGAAGCCTATAACTTGTCAGGTGATTGAATTAGTAATCAAAAACTTTCCAACCAAGAAAAGCCCAGGACTAGATGACTTTACTGGTATATTCTACCAACATTTAGGGAAGAATTAATATCAGTCCTCCTCAAACTGTTCCAATAAATTGAAGAGGAGGTAACACTTCCAAACTCACTCTACAAGGCCAGCATTGTCTGATACCAAAGCCAAAGACACTGCAAGAAAAGAACACTAGCGAACAATATCCCTTATAAATATTGATTCAAAAATTATCAACAAAATACTAGTAAACCAAATTCAACAGTGCATTAAAAGATTATCCACCAGGACTAAGTGGGATATATTCCTGGAAAGCAAAGATGGTTCAACATCAATGGTACTGATAGTTCAACACCATTCAACAAAGATGGTTTCAATGCACTGAAAATCAATCAGTGTAATACACCACATGGATAGACTAAAGGAAAAATATCAATTATTGCAGAAAATACATTTGACAAAATTCATAAAACACTTCCTTAATCAATACCTCTAAACTCTATCACATCATAAACTATGCATATACTTTCACCCCTAAAGCATCCTAAAACAACTCCTATTTAAAAATACACTTATATCCATGCTACTCACAAATATACAACCCAAGTATATGCAAGAACCCTAGAAATAAACAATTAAAATTTCCAAAACCCACATATACATGAAATTAACCTATTCTGCTGAGCAGTCTAGGAAAAAAAAGAATAAAAAATAAATAAATAAGAAGGATATAGCCCACGCGTGCCCCACTGACGGGGAGGTGTGGACTGCAGGTGTGGGCGGAGGGTTTGCAGTTCCACTGCAGCAAGGGCTCCTGTGTCTCTGTGTGGAAATGACACATGGAGTCCTGTCACGTCACATGACAGCGCAGCACACAGACACTCACAAAGAGAGGGGAAATACACGACGCCTGCCGCCCCCGGCACCTCCCCCAGTTGCCCTGGCCAGGCCCTTTGTGTGCTTCCCCCTTTGTGTGCTTCCCCCACTCCCTGGCGCTGCACCCTCCCCACCACTTGGCGCCCAAACTTGGCTCAGGCTGCCCAGCAAGTGCAGAACTCGAGTCCCAGTGGAACAGAAGATGAACTCAACTGAATTCAGTGAAGATGTAGAAGAACTTCTAAGAAGTGAGAGTGGAGACAGAGGCCGAAGATGCTGCTCTAGGCTGCTCCATGAATTCCAGGACTTCTGAGAAGCACCCTCTGGACAGCGTCTTCACTGCCCTCCAGGACTTGGCAGGTCAGCAGTGGCCCCCAGACTCCGTCCCCAGCATGAAGAGGAGGCAGCTGATCCCAGAGGCACTCGTAGAAGGCATGTGGAACCTGAGAGCAGCTCGTCCTGCCAAGGCAATGGAGAGCAGGCTGGCAGGGCAGGAGCTCGGGCTCTGTGTGGCCAGGCAAGGAGGAGCCCTGCAACCACGCCACCACCCCTTACTACAAGAAGCCTCTGTATGGCATCTCGCACAAGGTCATGGAGAAGAAGAATCCTCCCTCAGGGGACCTGCTAAGCATGTATGAGCTCTTCCAGAAGGCAAATGCCCGGAACAGCCCCTTGCCACTTAGGCTCCTGAATGAGCTACAGAAGTGGGACTGTGGCAGCACTGGGGTGGCCACCAACAGTGATCTTAACATCTACTTCCTGATCCAGAAGATATTCTACATGCTCAACACCCTCACGTCCAACAGGTCCCAGCTGCACAGCAAAGTGGACCTGCTCTCCCTGAAGGTGAACCACACTGAGATGGTGGCCAAATTCCAGCCGCCCCCACCACTCCATAGCAGCTCATAGGTGGCGTAGCTCAAGCAGATTGTGGACCAGAGCCTGTTGGGCGAGGCCCTGGCCTGCTTCCTGCTGGTGCAGCTCTTCCCCAAGCTCATCAGCCACAGTCGACTTCTCCCGAGGCTGCAGTGCCTGCGGCTTTGAGGCCAAGCGTAAGCTGGAGTCACTGCACCTGCAGCACATCCACAACTACATGGAGGTCTACTACCCCTCAGTGAAGGACACGGCTGTGTGACAGGCCGAGTGCTTGCCCCAGCTGAGTAACTTCTTCAGTCGCTTCTGGGCCCAGCGGGAGATGGAGAACAGCCAGCCCGATGGCCAGGCCGCCAGCTTCTTTGAGGCCGAGCAGTGGACCCCGGCCACTTCCTGGACCACAAAGACGAGGAGGAGGGCCTGTCTCTGGACCGGAGCAGCACCATCGCCTCAGACCACATGGTGGACATGCAGGACCTCACTGAGTTCCTGGATGAAGCCTCTTCACCCAGCAAGTTTGCCGTCTTCATCCTCCACTGGTTCTTCCCTGAGCTCTTCGACCATCGCAAGCTGGGCGAGCAGGACAGCTGCTACGGGGACAGCGGTAAGCCTGTCTCTTATACACATCTAGATGTGTATAAGAGACAGGGCTAACATTGCCCTGATACCAAAACCAAAGACACTGCAAGAAAAGAACACTAGCGAACAATATCCCTTATAAATATTGATTCAAAAATTATCAACAAAATACTAGCAAACCAAATTCAACAATGCATTAAAAGATTATCCACCAGGACTAAGTGGGATATATTCCTGGAAAGCAAAGATGGTTCAACATCAATGGTACTGATAGTTCAACACCATTCAACAAAGATGGTTTCAATGCACTGAAAATCAATCAGTGTAACACACCACATGGATAGACTAAAGGAAAAATATCAATTATTGCAGAAAATACATTTGACAAAATTCATAAAACACTTCCTTAATCAATACCTCTAAACTCTATCACATCATAAACTATGCATATACTTTCACCCCCAAAGCATCCTAAAACAACTCCTATTTAAAAATACACTTATATCCATGCTACTCACAAATATACAACCCAAGTATATGCAAGAACCCTAGAAATAAACAATTAAAATTTCCAAAACCCACATATACATGAAATTAACCTATTCTGCTGAGCAGTCTAGGAAAAAAAAGAATAAAAAATAAATAAATAAGAAGGAAATAGCCCACGCATACCCCACTGACGGGGAGGTGTGGACTGCAGGTGTGGGCGGAGGGTTTGCAGTTCCACTGCAGCAAGGGCTCCTGTGTCCCTGTGTGGAAATGACACATGGAGTCCTGTCACGTCACACGACAGCGCAGCACACAGACACTCACAAAGAGAGGGGAAATACACGACGCCTGCCGCCCCCGGCACCTCCCCCAGTTGCCCTGGCCAGGCCCTTTGTGTGCTTCCCCCTTTGTGTGCTTCCCCCACTCCCTGGCGCTGCACCCTCCCCACCACTTGGCGCCCAAACTTGGCTCAGGCTGCCCAGCAAGTGCAGAACTCGAGTCCCAGTGGAACAGAAGATGAACTCAACTGAATTCAGTGAAGATGTAGAAGAACTTCTAAGAAGTGAGAGTGGAGACAGAGGCCGAAGATGCTGCTCTAGGCTGCTCCATGAATTCCAGGACTTCTGAGAAGCACCCTCTGGACAGCGTCTTCACTGCCCTCCAGGACTTGGCAGGTCAGCAGTGGCCCCCAGACTCCGTCCCCAGCATGAAGAGGAGGCAGCTGATCCCAGAGGCACTCGTAGAAGGCATGTGGAACCTGAGAACAGCTCACCCTGCCAAGGCAATGGAGAGCAGGCTGGCAGGGCAGGAGCTCAGGCTCTGTGTGGCCAGGCAAGGAGGAGCCCTGCAACCACGCCACCACCCCTTACTACAAGAAGCCTCTGTATGGCATCTCGCACAAGGTCATGGAGAAGAAGAATCCTCCCTCAGGGGACCTGCTAAGCATGTATGAGCTCTTCCAGAAGGCAAATGCCAGGAACAGCCCCTTGCCACTTAGGCTCCTGAATGAGCTACAGAAGTGGGACTGTGGCAGCACTGGGGTGGCCACCAACAGTGATCTTAACATCTACTTCCTGATCCAGAAGATATTCTACATGCTCAACACCCTCACGTCCAACAGGTCCCAGCTGCACAGCAAAGTGGACCTGCTCTCCCTGAAGGTGAACCACACTGAGATGGTGGCCAAATTCCAGCCGCTCCCACCACTCCATAGCAGCTCATAGGTGGCGTAGCTCAAGCAGATTGTGGACCAGAGCCTGTTGGGCAAGGCCCTGGCCTGCTTCCTGCTGGTGCAGCTCTTCCCCAAGCTCATCAGCCACAGTCGACTTCTCCCGAGGCTGCAGTGCCTGCGGCTTTGAGGCCAAGCGTAAGCTGGAGTCACTGCACCTGCAGCACATCCACAACTACATGGAGGTCTACTACCCCTCAGTGAAGGACACGGCTGTGTGACAGGCCGAGTGCTTGCCCCAGCTGAGTAACTTCTTCAGTCGCTTCTGGGCCCAGCGGGAGATGGAGAACAGCCAGCCCGATGGCCAGGCCGCCAGCTTCTTTGAGGCCGAGCAGTGGACCCCGGCCACTTCCTGGACCACAAAGACGAGGAGGAGGGCCTGTCTCTGGACCGGAGCAGCACCATCGCCTCAGACCACGTGGTGGACATGCAGGACCTCACCGAGTTCCTGGATGAAGCCTCTTCACCCGGCAAGTTTGCCGTCTTCATCCTCCACTGGTTCTTCCCTGAGCTCTTTGACCACCGCAAGCTGGGCGAGCAGGACAGCTGCCACGGGGACGGCGGCAAGCAGGAGCTGGACCCGCAGAGGCTGCAGATCATCCGCAACTACAGGGAGGTCAACTTCCCCCACATGCAGGAGGAGGCCTGGCTGCAGCAGTGTGCCCAGCGCATCAATGACAAGCTCCAGGGTCTGCGGCTGGACCCGGGCAGCAAAGGTGAGCCCCCCACGCGATGACTGCTATGACTCCTCTAGCCTGCCCAATGACATCTCAGTAATCAAGGTGGAGGATAGCTTCAAGCGCGAACAGCACTGCTCCAAGAAGATCTGGCTGGTACCCATCGACTTGGACAAATTGGAGATCCCCCAACCCAACTTGGAGGTGCCCGGCACCGACTGCCTGCTCAGCAAGGTGCATTGTGCAGTATCTACGAGAGCAGCCTGTCCATCAGCAACTTCGCCTCATGCCTGCTGGTGCCCCTGTTCCCCAAGCTCTTCACCCATGAGCCCGTGCACAAGCAGTACAGCTGCAGTGGCTCCCTGGGCAAGAAGTAGCTGGACCCATCCTGCATCAAGTTCATTCACCACTCTGTGCACCTACGCTACCTCCGCACCAAAAACAACTGCTTCTGGACCCTGGAGTTCACTGGCAAACTGGACAAGCACTGCCCACGCCGGGACACGAGCAGAGGCGCTCCTACCAGCAGCGGTGCAAGGTCCATGTGTTGGGCCCGAGTGCAGAGACATGAGGAGCTATGCAGTCAACCCCAAAAGGTTTGAGGAGGAGTTTGAGGGTCCCCCGCTGCCCCCGAGAGGAGCAGCAAGGACTTCTGCAAGATCCCCTTGGACGAGGTGGTGGTCCCTCACCCAGCTTCCCGGTGCCCTCTCCCTACCTGCTGTCCGACAATGAGGTGCGCGAGATCGTGCAGCAGAGCCTCTCCGTGGGCAACATTGCCACGGGGCTCCTCCACCACCGAGAACCTCCAGCTGCAGTACAACCATTCCCGGGCTTGCAGCAAGAAGCAGCTGGACCCTATGCAGCTGCGGCTCATCCGCCACAACGTGGAAGCCATCTACCCCGTGGAGAAGGTGGAGGAGGTGTGGCACTGCGAATGTATCCCCAGCATCGACGAGCGGTGCCGCTGCCATAACAGGAAAAAATGCAACATCCTTAAGAAAGCCAAGAAAGTGGAGAAGTGAAGGCTGTGGCCTGCCCAGAGACTCAGGGTCACCAGAGACTGAGCGATGCTCAGGAGCATGCCTATGGCATCCACAGACAGGCACCTTATGTCCGTGGGGTGTGGCTTATTACACTTGCACATGTACACACCCAACCAACCACAAGAAAGAAGCCTTGAGTTTGATCTCTTGTCCTCTTGTCCTTACGACTTCTGGCCTGCGTTCCCTGGCGGTGCAGCCTGAGTGTGGGAAGCATAAGCTGTGAGAGCAGGGACTCTGTCCTGCGTTCCCTGGCACTGCAGCCTGAGTGTGGGGAGCGTAAGCTGTGAGAGCAGGGACCAGTGGGCAGGGGTCCTCTCTCCCTAGTCGCATCCTCCCCAGCCCCTCACAACTTCAAATGCAAACTCAGCAGCTCTTTTGCTCCTCTTCCCATATTTTACAGCTTCCATTTTTATCCAATGTTTTTTAAATTAAAAAGAAACCCTTAAAAAAATCACTGGGCTCTTTGGGGGCCATTTTACTTAGAAAAAAATATTTTAAAAAGTGCCATCTTCAGGCCGGGTGCAGTGGCTCATGCCTGTAACCCCAGCACTTTGGTAGGCCAAGGCAGGTGGATGACCTGAGGTCAGGAGTTCAGGAACAGCCTGGTCAACATGGTGAAACCCCATCTCTACTGAAAAACAAGCAAAAACTAGCCGGGCCTGGTGGCGGGTGACCGTAATCCCAGCTACTTGGGAGGCTGACAGGAGAATCACTTGAACTTGGAAGGTAGAGGTTGCAGTGAGCCGATAAAGCACCATTGCACTCCAGCCTGGGCAACAAGAGCAAAACTCCATCCCAAAATAAATAATAAATAAATAAAGGTGCCATGTTCGTGTACAATGGCTAATCATAGCTTCAGGTGGCATGGATACTGATTTTACCGACCCTGTCTTTTACATCTGATTCTGGAAGAGTCAAGAGGCCTCCTGGATGGCAGTAGAGGGGATGGAATAGTGTGAAGTCCTTTGCGACCATGTGCAAGCTTTCCCTTCTGCTCTGGTGCCTCAGAAGACTTCCATCAGGTACGTGTCCGTCAGGCGTGTTGGTAAAATGTGCTCACTCCGTAAAGGAGGACACTCGATGATGATGATATGAACGCAGAAAGCCATGGAACATGTCCGCAGTGTCTTCATTCGAGCTGTGTCCTTCCACTGTCCCCACTCTCTCTCCACATATGGTTGCTTGTTGGAGATTCTGGGTTCTGGGAGCTGTGGGGTGACTTCCCCAAACCTCAGTGTTAGCTCCTCCAGGCAGCACCACATCCTCATTCCCCAGGGTGGGCCCATGTCTGGGCCCCTCTTGGGGATCCCAGGCATTGGAAGGACACAGGTCATCTCAGATGGGGCATCCATGTCCTTTCCCAGGGTCCACTCAGAACTTCCCCCTTGGACCCCCTAGAAAGTCCTGCTGTCCTCCACCTGGCCACCATCGGCTCTGGGAGACACATGTCTTCTCGCCCCACTGACTGGGAATGTCAGACTCCTGCAGAACAGCTGGATGTCTTCCAGGAGCACCAACTAGGAAATTCCTCAACAGGTAAAATCTTTAAAAATGACACTTACCTACCTAACTTTGGGGGCCAAATGCCTAAGACGGAAAGGAAACAGTCTAACCAGAGTCCAGGAAAATTAACTGAATCACATGGCGTAGACATAAAACCCCTGTGGGAATATTACGGGTTCAATAACCTAATGGCTTAGTATTTTGTTACTTAAAATGCAGAGATAACAGAAACAATCTGAATATTCTTCATACAGCTGGTAAGGACTTCAGTTCCAGTGGCCATATGACATAATTCTGCCTGTACCCAGGGACATTTTTAAAAATATAACATCAGATTTTAAGCAACGTAAAGTTGCTAATCTAACTAGTAAATTTGCTCTTGTGTCATTTACCGATTATTTCTGTTGAAACTGCAAACCCGAGTTATTGAAATCTAGAAAGGCACAGGGACTTACTCTGTCACACACAGCTACTCATGCACACACACACTGCTTACTAAAAGCTGAAGTGAGATGAAGGGGGCCTACACGAACACTAAGTTCAACTTCTTTGTGCCTGGAAAGAAAGGACTGGAACAGCCAGGAGACTCACTTTCCCTCATCTCTTGGGCCCTTCTCTATGCCTTAGTATCTCCAGCACATGCCCACAGCACGCACACACATGTGCCTTACCCAAAGACAGCTGTGGCCCTCTCCCCACCTGCCCCGCTGGTTGTTGGGGGTGAGGCGTCCCATGAAGTTTGTTCCGGTTCCTAGGATGTAAACGAGAAGACTCCAAGCCATGAAGTGCCCTGCTTTCTAGAGGGTGAAATGTTGACCTTGCAACTTTAGAAGCACAATCATTTATTAGTAACTTTTTTGAAATTCCCATCTACCCATGTCAGAGAAGTTCAACAAGTTCTAGGAATTAAATATGTCTGTTTGTAACCTAGAGCATGCTCAATTTTTGGAAACCATATTTCAGTGATGATTTTCTTAATACCTTTCACGTATAGGGCGTCTTCCCCCAAAATCTTACAGTCCCTTTCTGTGAAGCGAAATGGACACATCCTGGGAACTATTCCCGTCCCTCTGGACTGTCGTCAGGAAACGCCTGCAGGTCCTGTGCCCTGTCTATATCATGTCCTCACTTCTCCATCCATACAGGTGGCTCCAGTGGGCATTTTTTTTTTATTTTAAACTTTTTACATGGAGCAACAGAAGTACAAAATACTGGTTTTTTTCAAAATTTAATGTGTTCCATGAAATCTGTTGGCAATCCCTTTCCTTCTCCCTGTCTAAATTCTTTGGTTTTTACTTGTTTGTTCTGTGGATTTTTTTTTTTTTCTTTTTTTTTGGTCCTGTATCCCAAGGACTAAAAAATTAGCACAGACATGTTTTGATGTTGAGTGAACTAGGTGGTAGGGTTCATTGGTTTCTCTGTTAGTAACTTTTTAAAGAATGAAGATAGTCATGAATGTACTGAGTGTTCAAACCCTGCTTTAGTTCACCTTGGCTGTGTCTACATGATGACAAATGTTTGACAGGGAATAAAGTCGTGTCTGGTGTCATTTGCACTAGTGCGCCCCTCCCCCTACAGTGTTGGTCCCAAACCTTCCTTTCCTTTATGTTTGTTGTTGGGGAGGGAGGACCACATCAGCAGCAATCATCAACCAACCAGTGGGATCTACTTAGTGGTGAGTGGACTGGCTGTTTAATTGGTAAGAGTCGCTGGCCTGACCACACTACAGCATGACCACGTGGATTACTGTAGAGATGGCCTCAGGTTCCAACATTCTCCCCAAACGTTTGCTTCTTGCCCAATCGAGAGGGGATCTTGAGACTCCCAAGTGGAGGTCGTGAGCTTGCACCCTGCCTGACTGTGTAGACAGACTGTATGGATATATGAGGTGGGGGTGGGGGCCAAGGGGCTATTACTGCTGTTTGGAGATATTTGCCTCTTGTAGATCCAGCCTTAATGGTTTTGTGACATCCTAGTACTAGCAAACTCTGCACAAAGTGGGTATCAGAGTTAATACTGTGAGGAGACAAAGTAGTGAGAACAGTTTTGCTAAAGATAATGAAATATCACATAATGTCTGCATTTTACCATTGACTTGCGTGCATTCTTAGAAAAACTTAATGTAATGAAAAACCCAGGACATTTTTGGAAATCATATGCTCTCTAGCAACTTTGTGTGAATTTTTATACAAACATTGTTTTTTTAGTTACATAAAGTGTTATAAAAATAGAAAAAAAAGGAAATTATCCTATACTCCCCCAGTAGAAGCACAGACCACACACTCACAGCTCTAGAATGGACACACAGCCACCACATTTCCTGAATAAATTCACACTCTTCAGACTACACACACTCAAACATGCAGATGCCTGAATAACACACCCACAATATACTCATAGATCCAAATACACACACAGCTGTATACTCCCAAATACAAACATACACAAGCTCAATCTTGAAAACTATAAATATTCTGTCTATATCCTGAGATTATATACATATAGCTTGTAACACTTAAATACATCCAGTCATCTCTCTGCCTCCAAATTCTTCACACCAAAAATGTACACCTAAATTCTCATCTAGACACCATGAGCATAGATAAAACTCCTCTACTCTGAATACACACAAATCCAACACACAAAGCATTAAAACATAGAATGTTACCTGCCTTTTCAAATGTATGCACACATATTCACAATATCTCACAGTACCGTCAAAATGCACAGAACCACCCCAAGCACGCAAATACACACACACACACACACACACACACACCCCATTCAAATATGAACACATAACTATCCAGTACCCTCAGAATAAACCCAAAACCCATTATGCTTCTGTAATATACTAAAAACTCACCCATATTCCCCTAAAAACACATTTTCAACACCACCGAATACTTAACCTACCTACATAAATATGTATCTTAAATATATAATACATATACATGACACAGAATACAAATACCCAAAACAGACACAAATCCCCAAAATGTGTTAGTATAAAAACATCCCACACCTGCCAATGCCTCCCTTGTCATACAGCAGCCTTCACACACCTAAACACACTCCCTCATCAACTCCCCATACTCCTTAGTGAAATGTAAACACAGCAGTGGAACATGTTCTGAATGTATACACAACGGGGCAGATGTATCACTATGAAGAGTATTCATGGTCCTTCTCTATGGTGTCTCTGTCTGAGATATTACACCTCCCTAGTCTGTTTAACTCAAGTATGGCCACGTGAC